TTTTTTCCCCACCAGAGACATAATGTGTTTTATTGAAAGAAACTAAAATCTCAAAATGTTCTCTGAAACCAATGGTTATTCAGTCCGCACCTTTTTGTGCTTCCTGATCAGGAATCTTGCTGTTAATAAAGCTTCTATCTTCTTATGACTGCCTTCACTTTCCTTTTCAACAGGTTTTTTCCTTTATTGTCTAAACAAAGAATGAATGTGTATATAGTCTTGACGAGAGAGAGTCAAAGTCAAGATTTTATCCCACGGCCAAGAGGAAGCTCCGGAATATTGTCTCCGAGGTCATATGTCATCTAAAATCATGGATATGTAATAATGAAAATGATGATATTGTTGGTTAACATTTATAGGTGGTCCTATTATAGGTGGTAAATCAATGTGCCTCTTTCTTTCTTTTTAGCTTGAGTTATCCTTTTACTTACTAATGCACCTAAGAAACGTTTAGTGAATCACCTTAGATAGATGTTTGATTAGATTCATTCACTTATTGATAACTTCTCTTAGCTGGGCAGTGACCCATATGTTGGGGGTACAGCAGTGAACATAATATATAATATCCCTGTTGTCAAAAAGCTTACCCTCTAGTGGGGTGGGGGACAGACAATAGGCAAATCTATTAGGAAATAACATGTCATAAGGAAAAAAAGAGGGAAAAACAATAGTGATAGAAACAGAGTAGGAGGTATTATTTAAAAAGTTTATAAAGGTGGTCAGAGGAGAATTAGAAATTTTTGTTTGGAAGCTTTGGAATTATTGAAGTTTCCTTTTTCTCATAGAATAAATTCAGATAATCTAAATCCCTTCAGGGCAGCAATTCCAAAATTTGAACTCTGACTTGCTAAAAGCTCCCTTGACATGCATTTGCACACCTTTAGAGATGTACCTGGAGAAGGCAAATGATCTAAAGAAGCATAAGCCTATGACCCTGGAGGTCACCTTGCCCCTAACTTGTAAGACACCATTTGTAGCCAGTCTGACGTCAATCAGCAAAGGTTGACAGATGATTCAACTGTGTTTGTACCATTGTTGGTTCCTGTTATTGTTTTTCTCTTCACATTTTATTATTGATTGATTATTTAAAAAATTTATTAGTTTTTAAAAATTTACATCTAAGATAGCATATAGTGTAACAATGATTTCAGGAGTAGATTCCTTAATGCCCCTCACCCATTTAGCCCATCCCCCCTCCCACACCCCTCCAGCATCCCTGTTTGTTCTCCATATTTAAGAGTCTCATGTTTTGTCCCCCTCCCTGTTTTTATATTATTTTTGCTTCCCTTCCCTTGTGTTCATCTGTTTTGTATCTTCAAGTCCTCATATGAGTGAAGTCATATGATATTTGTCTTTCTCTGACTAATTTCGCTTAGCATAATACCCTCTAGTTCCATCCACACAGTTGCAAATGGCAAGATTTCATTCTTTTTAATTGCTGAGTAATACTCCATTGGATATATATACCACATCTTCTTTATCCATTCATCCGTTGATGTACATTTGGGCTCTTTCCATACATTGGCTATTGTTGATAGCGCTGCTATAAACATAGGGGTGCATGTGCCCCTTGGAAACAGCACACCTGTATCCCCTGGATAAATACCTAGTAGTGCAATTGCTGGGTCATAGGGTAGTTCTATTGTTAGTTTTTTCAGGAACCTCCATGCTGTTTTCCAGAATGGCTGCACCAGTTTGCATTCCCGCCAGCAGTGCAAGAGATCCTCTTTCTCCACATCCTTGCCAATATCTATCGTTGCCTGAGTTGTTAATGTTAGCCATTCTGACAGGTGTGAGGTGGTATCTCATTGTGGTTTTGATTTGTGTTTCCCTGATGATGAGTGATGTTGAGCATTTTTTCATGTGTTGTTTGGCCATCTGGATGTTTTCTTTGGAAAAGTGTCTATTCATGTCTTTTGCCATTTCTTCACTGGATTATTTGTTTTTTGGGTGTTGAGTTTGATAAGTTCTTTATAGGCTTTGGATACTAACCCTTTATCTGTTATGTCGTTTGCAAATATCTTCTCCCGTTCTGTCAGTTGCCTTTTAGTTTTGCTGATTGTTTCCTTCTCTGTGCAGAAGCTTTTTATTTTGATGAGGTCCCAATAGTTCATTTCTGTTTTTGTTTTCCTTTCCTCCAGAGATGCATTGAGTAAGAAGTTGCTGCGATGCTTTGGTTGATTTTGACAGGAGTTCTCTGTGCCTCCTGGATCTGGATGTCTGTTTCTTCCTTCCTCAGATGAGGGAAGTTTTCAGTTATTTCCTCAAATAAATTTTCAGCCTCGTTTTTTCCTCTTCTTCTGGGACTCCTATAATAGGGATGTTGTTCATGTTTGATGGAGTTGCTGAGTTCCCTAAGTCTATTCTTGTGTTCCATAATGCTTCTTTCTCTCCCTATTGTTCAATTTCATTATTTTCCAGTTTTTTTTCTGTATCACTTACTCCTTCTGCTTTTTTCACCCTTGAGGTCTGGCATCCAGTCTGTTCCCAATATCAATTATGGCATTTTCATCTCTGATGGATTCATCTTTAATTCCTGTACCTCTGTGGTAGTGGCCTCCCTGAAATCTTCCATTCTTTTCTCAAGCCCAGTGACTATCCTTAGAATCACTGCTAAATTCTCCATCAGGCATGTTACTTGTATCTGTTTCACTTAGATATCTGACCATGACTTTATCTTATTGTTTCATTTGGGATGAATCCCTCCATCTTGGCATTTTGTCTAAGTCTCTGCCTTCTTCTGTGTATTAGAAAAGCCTGTTATCTTTCCTATTGAGAGTAATGACTTTATGAAGAAGAGGTCATTTGGCGTCCTGGGCCTGGTGCTTCAGTCAATGAGTCTGGTGTGTGCCGTGTGCACTCTGCTATTGTGTTCTGGATGCCCTGTCCCTCAGGCCGGTCATCTGGAGAGGCTCTGCTTGCCTGCTGTGGGCAGCATTTGGACCTTTGCCAGAATGTGGTGAGTTTTAACTAGCTGGGCTCTGGTCTGCTTATTACATGAGACCTGATGCTACTTCCACTAGAACTGAAGGCTTGTGGAACTCTCTGTTTGGGAGATGTGGTGTGGACAGGGAGCTGTGCTAGTCTTCTGGGGGAGGAGCCTGTCTGCTAGAACTGCGGTATACTTGCCGGGGAGGGCAGTATAGGCAGAGTATAGGGGAAGCTATGTTCATTTTCATCTCAGGAAATGCAAAAGTCTGTTTGTTGAGATTATAGATATGGCATGTCAAAGCCATTAAAGCTTCAGTGAAGAATACTCTTTTCTCCCCATACAGACAAAAATAGAAAATTGACATATTGTACATGAGTAATACAGTGTGCTTCTGAAGTTATATTTGAAATATTCAACTTAACATATTTTGGAACAAATTCATTTAAAAGGTCATTTCTAAGTAATCTTTGTGATACTTGCCTAAAAAAAAAAAATCAAAGGTATATATCTGAAGATGATTTGTCTTCTATTATTCTGCTCAGAATTATCAAAACATGAAAAAAAAAGACTTTTTTCTTTGCTCTGACATCATCACTATGTATCTGAATCCATTATTTTCAGTTATAGCCAGCAGCCTCATTTTCCAGAAAAAGAAAAAAGCTACCAAAAAAAGGCACTCAACTCCTAGACCTTCTCTTATAAATATGGTAGTTTTGGCTGAGGCCAGAAAGCTTCTTGATTTTGTATTTGACAGATGCTGCTTTAAAAAATGTGACTGAGGAAAGGGGCTATGTGCTTTGCTTTAGCGAATGGAATAAAAATTATTGGTATTGTATAACTTTGAGAGAAAATTCTCAAGTTTTGAAAAACCATCCTTAGATTAAGTATTTTCCCTATAATTCGTTAAATACCATTTGCTTGCTTTTGCCAGTTCCCATAAGAATTTGGAATTAATGAAGTCCAGATTAATGAAGTTTTATTATAAATGTAAGAAAGTTGCATCAAAAAAGTAGATTATGCCGCAATATTCTTTTTTTCTTTTAAGTAGCCTCCATACCTAACATGGGGCTTGAACTCAGATCCCTGAGATTAAGAGTTGTGTGCTCTACCCGTTGAGCCAGCCAGGGACCCCTATGCCATAAAATACTGCGTCAAGAATGTGATGATTGTATAGCATGTACCTGGCAAATTGGTCTTTTCACTATAACTGTATTAAAGGTTTCACTGAATCATTATTTGGGGAGGATTTTCTTAACCTTCAGTAGAACCACTTTATTTTATTTATTTATTTTTTTAAGTGTTTATTTTTGAGAGAGAGACAGTGCAAGCAAGGAAGGGGCAGAGAGAGAGGGAGACACAGAATGCTAAGGAAGCTCCAGGCTCTGAGCTGTCAGCACAGAGCCCAATGCAGGGCTTGAACTCACGGACCACGAGAGCGTGACCTGAGCTGAAGTTAAATGCTTAACTGACTGAGCCACCCTGGCACCCCATTAGCAGAACTACTTTATACATTTATAGCTTTAAAATAGAAATCTTCTGTTTGATTCCAAAGCTTACTTTTTTAAAATTATACTTGGAATATTCAATTAAACATATTTTGGAATTTGGTCATTTAAAGGATAATTGCTAAATGTTTATTTTTTCTCTAATATTTAAAAATTCAGAGTTGTGTGCCTCAGAATGCACATGTCCTGTATCTCACATCCTATATATCTGTATAGAATATCTGGTATTTGAGGGGCACCTGGGTGGCTCAGTCAGTTAAGCATCCAACTCTTTAATTTCGGCTCAGGTCATGATCTCACCATTGTGAGATCAAACCCCATGATATGTTTCATGCTGAGTGTGGAGCCTCTGTAAGATTCTCTCTTCCTCTCTCTCTGCCCTTCCTTTGCTCATGCATGCACGTGCACGCACACACACACACACACGCACACACTCTCTCTCTCAAAAAAAAAAAAAAGTCTTGTATTTGATATATACCAAAGCTGGTCAGGGGAGGAAGGGCAGAGGACTTGGGGAAGAGCGAGCCCAAGCTAACTGATGCTTCATATGCTTCTTTCTCCAGGTCTACCCCACGACGATGCGTGCTTTGGGGATGGGGACCAGCGGCTCCCTGTGTCGCATTGGTGCAATGGTGGCACCATTTATATCCCAGGTACAGGCCAGGAGTTTCTTTCGGGGGGGTAAGATGTAGATGGGGAAAGTAGATGGAGAAAGATGCATTTCAGGTCATTTCAGGTTAAGGGTTTAATCAGGGATTTCTCTTTACTTAATGATTTTTCTTGAGTTGCTGTTTGCCCATTGTTTGGTGAATATGGGTTAGGGATGGAGGCTAAGTAAAAGCTTCTAGGCTTGTAGTCGGTCAATAAACTGTATTTCATCTCATGCAGGGTTGCAGTTTTGTTGGGCATTGTTGTGGGAAGATAGAAAAGAAATGGAGGACACAGGAGCTTGAGCAGTTTGAATGATAGTGGGTTCAAGTCCTGACCCTATTCTGGGGTACAATTGAAAAACAGATGATAGAAGTGCAGGGAGGCGTTTGTGGGCAGTGTAAGTCTAGTGCTAGGGCAAACCAGGTGCAGGCTGGGATAAAAATCCAAGGGTGGCCTGGAATCATGGATAGACCCTTGTTTGAGGAAGGATATAGGCAGATACGGTGACACACGTGGTAATATTTCTTCAGAGGGCTAAACAGCTGGCTCATCTACACTGGTCCCTCTCTTTTGGCCACAGAAATGTAAATCCACCTGAACTGACTGCAGCAAAAAGACAGGAGTGAGGCTAGGCCCTGAGAGAGTCTGCTCCAGGCAGTAGAGGTTACAGGGACTCAGGCCCTCTCCTCCTCATGTTCATCTGGGCCCGAGGTCACTCCTTTGCCTTCCTGAGCATTCAGGATTTGCCCCACTCTTCCTGAAGACCAGTGCTGTGCTTGCCTGTGTACATGGCCATCCCATGAATCTCAAACCTAGATCCTTAGATCCAGCCACCAGAAGACACTGAGGCACTCCCTCTGCATCCCTAGAAAGGGGCTGTCACTAGTCAGGTCTGGTCAGATGTTCACACTTGAGCTAAATCAGTTGTGGCCAGGAGTCAAGGTTAATCTATGAATGCAGCTGGGGAAATGCAGTTCTCAAAGAAAGGGGGTTGTTGTGGACTGAGCAGACTGTCTCGTGTATTTCCTATAAAATTGTTTGTGTGTTTTTAGCTATTTTGGGAGTGCTTTTCCCACTCATCTTAAGGAAAAATGAGGGCGGCTTTTGTCTAGTGATTTCCAAAGTTCTGTTATACTGATGATTTCACAATTTCCAGAAAAGAACATAGTGGTGAAACATAGAAGTAAGTAAATTATTAATCCTGTTTCTGGATGACCAGACCAAGGTATAGTTTATTTCCCAAGCTTTCATTAGAAATTGAGTCTGTTTTTCTTTTCTTTTTTTTTTTTTTAATTTTTGTTTATTTTTGAGAGAGACAGACAGAGTGCAAGCGGGGAGAGGAACAGAGAGAGGGAGACACAGAATCTGAAGCAGGCTCTGAGCCGTCAGCACAGAGCCTGGTGTGGGGCTCGAACTCAAATTGGGAGATCATGACCTGAGCCAAAGTCAGTTGTTTAACCGACTGAGCCACCCAGGAGCCCCAAGTGTCTGTGTCTCAACCACTTGAAAGAGGTTTTCTGGGTATTTGTGGGGATTTACCCTAGAGGCCACACAGCTTTTGGTGGTTTTGTGGACCAGGCAACATTGTCTACTGGGACCAGGTCTTCTGGGGCCATTAGGCGCTGATCTGCTTAGTGTCCTGCAGCCAGAGAGTCACAACTTTTTATAGTTAAGTCACTCATCTCTGTATCCACCCCCATCATTTGTAAAATAAAGATCAGTAATAACATCTACCACATAGGTTTGTTCTGAGCATTAAATGAGATTAACACATGGAAAGCACTATGACACATAGTCAATAATTAATGTTACTCAATAGTAACAATGATCACTAATAAGGCGAGAATGCTGAATATTCAAATAAGTCTTTCTCAGTAACAAAAATACTTTTAAATCCAGTATTTCAATCATGAAGCAATTGGGATGTTTTGCTTTCTTAACTGATCTGGAATGGGAAGTCAGAATCTGCTCCTAGGCTATTTGCCTGGGTGTGGGGTGGGGTAGCAGCTTCGAGTAAGGCCTTGGTGTCACCCTCATAAGTTGATAGTCTGTCAGCCTTCCTTGGATATGGCTCTCAAACTTCAGTATCAGAATTACAAATAACTTGATAAAAAGAAGACTGCTGGATTCCAGCTAGAGGTAGATGCTGTCTATGGGACCACGACAGTGGTTGTAACAAGTCCCCAGAGCAACCCTGATGGAAGTGGTCTGTGAATCACTAGCTGACAGGCATCAGCATCAAAAGGGAGAATCCCAACCAGGAGCTAAGCTTTACTTCTCCCTAATTTTCCCTCTTCCTCCTTCCTTTCTCGATCCCCTCACTCTTTCCTCTTCCACTTGTTGCCCTTCATTTAGGAACTTCTTGTAATGATCTGTTCAACAAGCTGACTTCAAAATAATTGTCTACAAATTCTAGAAACAGTTTGGCAGTTAGCAAAAAAAAAAAAAAAAAGGACTCAACTAGCTACCATCTGTATCTGACAGAACAGAATTGAGAATTATTTTATCCCAGTTCAACATGCAGTGAACATTTATGACACACTTGCTCTGTGCCTGACATTGTTCTAGTTTTATTTATTTGTAGCAGTAATAAGTCAGACAAGTTTCCAGTGGTGCACTGGCTTGTGAAAGTGAACGGGTACATTTTCAGAAAATTTTGCAAGCTGGTTGTAGTCACATTGTACCTTGAAATTACCCTTGGTGGTAATTGTAGAATTAGCAAATGGTAGCAGCGGGACTTTTTTGGGGAAAGCCAACTGTTTAAACATTTGCCAGCACCGCCCCCCTCCCCCGCACCCCACCCGTCCCCCCACCCCTGCCACCAAGATTCTTGCTCTCAAGAGGCTTTCTTTCAAGTTGGGAATTCACAAATATGAAATAATTACAATGATTCCAGGTTATGTAAATGCTTTGGAGGTAATATGATCAAGAGGTGACAGGCAAAACCTCTCTGAGAAGGTGACAATGGAGTTGAAACCTGAAATATGAGAAGTTGACAACTTACAAAGAAAAATAGCATTTCAAGTAGGATGCCTGGTGGCGTAAGGGCCTGGAGATGGGGCAGAGACTGGGGTGTTCCCGGAACAGAAAATAGCTGTGTGAGTTAACTGTGGAGAGATGTGCATGGTGAGAAAGTGCCTCACAGGCATATTGAGAAGTTGGGATTTTTTTCTGAGGAGCAGTGGGAAATAATTGAAGGGTTTTAAGCAGGTAAGTGACATGATGAGTTTTGTGTTAGGTTGAGTTGATTTTTGTGTATGATTTAAGATAGTGTTCCAGGGGTGCCTGCTTGGGGTCCTGTCTCTCACTCTTTCTCTGTCCCTCCCCTGATCACCCATGTGCTCTCTCTCTCTAAATAAATAAATAAACATTAAAGATATTGGTTTAGGTATCAGGATAACGCTGGCCTTATAAAATGAGTTTGGAAGTGTTCCCTCTTCTTTGTTGTGAAGGAATTTGAGAAGGCTGAGGGAGGATATAAAGCTGGCACCTGCTGGCCTCCATCTTTGGAGTGTAATTCCGTAAATTCCTAGTTGTGTGTTCAAGTAGATGCTTGCCTATCAGGGTGATGCTTTAAGAGAAGCAAATAGTCCTCTTTCACAAAAAGACTGGATGTGTTTCATTGTGCTGCCTCTGTACAGTGGGGGTGTGGGAGGGTGACATTGGTGGGGGAGGGATAGAGGGTATGGGTGGGAGGAGGGGCCAGGTAACCAGGTGATTTCATGCGAATCCTTTAAGAATTGTTCTTCAGTTCGCTGTGACTGTGTGGATCTCATGGACACAAGGTCATGCATTGGCTTTCAAAGCTAGATGTTGTGGGGGTTCGTCTCTCAGGCACAGGTCTTAAAAGTAGGGGTACCACATGTGGGATTCAAACCCTTAGCTCCTTAGGGAGAAGCTTGGAGTTCTCAGTTCCCTCCTGATTGTGGTGGCTGCATCAAGAGTGGGAGTTATGGTAAGATTGTGTCTGAGCCTCTCCCAACTGTTTTGATGAGGATTTAGTTTTTGCATTTCTTTCAGAGGAAATGGTTTCATATTTAGCTGTAGATCTGGTCTGTTCACAAAGGAGGAGAGTTTAGGATCCTCCTATGTCGCCATCTTGAATGGGAACTTTTTAGGTTGATAACATACTTTTTATAGTCTGCTTTTTGCATGAAACAGTATGTTGCAGACATTTTTTCACATGAATAAAAGTCAAGCCCTCTGTTGCTGAAAAATAGACCCTTGTATGTATATTCCAAAAGTAACTTTCCAGTTACTAGTTCTGTATTGTTAAAGGTCTAGACTATTGGATATTTTTCTACTGTAAGTAATGTAATGAGCATCCTTGTGCTTGCATTTTTGCCTAACTTTGGGATTATGTCTTTAGGATAAATTCCTAGGAATTGGATTGATAAGTAGGTCAAGGGGTCTGTTCATTTTCCATTTTGACACATTGTGCCACAGCTCTCCTTTGGAAGGTTGTACTGGTGAGTAAGGTCCTGCTGCTTCACAGATTCGCCAGCTGGTTTTGTCAGTCTTTGTCATATTTGCTAATCCACTGGCAATGAAATGATTTCTCTTCGTTATTATAATTAGTATTTGTTTGATGAGTAATGAAACTGAATGCTCTTTGCACATTTTAATTAGGTTATCTTTTTTAGCTTGTCCATTTAGGGCCCTTCTCATGTTCCAAATCAGTTTTAAATCCTTGATTGGTGAGAGTCCTTCATATGTATGAAAGATTTCAACCATTTTCCTGACATATTGTAAATATTCCTCCCAATTTTCCATGTTTTTCATTCTTATTTGTTCTCCTTGCTTTGTACAGAAACTAAGTTCATAGACACGTTTATCAACATTTTCTTCACAACTTCTGCGTTCTGTGATTAGGGTTATGACAATACACATCTCTTTGCCAGTGCTCTGTGGCCTTCTTGTTTTGGGGGAGAGGATTTATAAGCATTTTATTGAAGTACAACATACATATAAAAGCGTTCAAATCATAGGCATACAATTTAAT